AAAAATTAAAGATATGAAAAGATATTATAATGTTATGTAAAATTTTATAAAATTCTAAGATGGTTCAAATTAAAATATCACACATGGAGTAAGTCATAACTTCTCTTTTAATATAATAGATTGTACAATTAGGTACCATATAATGTAGATCAAGTATTTCAAAAATCTAAGTATACATATATTGTAACTGCCTAGATAGAATGATTGGTGAAGTAGTTATCAGTCTATCTAAACTTAAGCATGAAGCAGATTGTATTACAAAAACAACAAACTCAAATCATGATTCGTGTAATTATAGTTCCTCTATCCACCATATCGTAGTGGATGGATAACAAGCAATGTCTTTGGCCTTCACATTCATCCTCTCTCTATCAAATTATTCTTTACCCTCGCAAAGTTAAGTTATATGATTTAGTGGATAACAAACCTAGAAATCTTTAAATTCAAAATCAACTTTAAGCTATATGACTCCTACATGGATTGTTTCTTCATCAAGGGAACTAAACTATATTCATCAAACCATAAGTCAACAACATTTGGTTTATACATTGGAACAAAGGACCGGGCGACGTATGAGACATGAAGAGAGATGAATAATAACTTCAATCGAGATGTAGATATGTAATTTAACAACAACAACAACAAAAAAAAACAATTTTCTCAAAAAGAAAACACAACAAAAAAACAAATACACACACGAAAATTTTCATTGTAAGTTCAGCATGGTTTCTCATTTAATTTGCATGATTCTGATACTTGGAAATGTCTTAAGGGAGAAGAATCTCTGATTAATTAATGCCAATCTATAGAATTCTCTTTTTTGTTTTTAAATATGAAAATAAAGCAATGAGAATGAACTTGCTTTTCTCCTTTTATTTTTTGGGTGAAATCTTTCATATACGTCAATGTCTACAAAGAAAAAAGCTTGTTTTACAAATATCTCTAGTTTCATCAACAAACGATAGACTCACTTGGGTCCATAGGCGCACAAATGTCTTTCCACCTCACAGGTTCTGTTCTCCAAATGCATCCATTTTGTTCATTGTTATTTATCTATTTGAAGGATCTAAACCTATACTTAATCGTGTAGCTACCCTTTTCTTTTAGTAGCCAAAGAATGTAAATTCTGGATTGTGTCAAATTGACATGATCTATATATAAAATGATACAATACAGCAAGCATGAAGCATGCAATATTTAGTTGCTCGTGCAGTTGTGCGAGTAGACATAATGGTGTCATCTTGGAGTGTTGATGTCTTTGTGATTAAATATTTTCGAGAGACGTCAAGTGTTTCTCTATGGAATATTTAAGCCATGGTACATTTGTACCTTTTCATGTACTCTTTATAGAAAGCAATTGTGTTGTTTAATAATTCTATCTTTTGATTTTAGAGTGCGCAATAATGCATATAACAATTTTTTCTATATAGAAGTTAATCAGGGGAAATCTATCAATTTTATTCACGAATCATTTTGCATTTCATCTGCCAATAGTTTGATATATGAATCACATTATCAATGCACATTGGATAATAAAATAATTATTTAAACATAGGATGATAGCTTTTTAAAGTAGATGATAAGAAACGTGAGGTATCAAATGTAGTTCAATGGGTATCGTGATGGAAAAAATATTAGGTAAGGTAACGGCGCATGACACGCAAATATATACTTATGGATAGTGGATTCAACTATATTAAGTATTAACAAATGCGAAAGAAGAGACAAGTGAATGTTAAACTAAATGATCATTGCTGCATCGTAATTGGGAATCCTACGTAGCCCACTTTTGTTGTATAAAACTCTGTTTCGTTGATTGTGACTTCAGCGACTACGTCACGTCTCTCAGACGTTTCTTGTTCACTAAATGTTTTTGGCCAGAGTCTACAGATGGCTAATAATTCCAAGTTTCTTTCCATTCATACCCCAAGTTCTATGTGTTTCGATTCGTTTGGTGTTACTTCATATGATAAGCAGTGGCTGAGCGCCAGCCACATCTTTCACTAGGGTCAATCTGATTTCATCCATATGATAAGGGTCATACATGTTAATTTTTGAACATTCCGTCAAATTTCATTTTTGATATACATGTATAAAATTGGCTGTTGAAATTCACATGGATCAATTGACCACCCTACAATACATGTAGCTGACCACTGATGACAAGTGAACATGCAGTAGGCATAGCTAATCCCGGATTTAGCAAAATGAATTATTTGCTATGGCTCATAAAATATTAATGACTAGTATATGTATATTATTTAGCTTTAAAAATATATGTTTAGTAATTGCTTCCGTTCTTATAAATTTTAGGACCGGTTTTGATTGTTAGTTTATCTTTACTATCTTAATAGTCTCAGGGACGAGAGTCGAAAACCTGAAATTTTTATGAGGTTTTGATGACTAGTATTATAAAGCCTGATATCGTTGCATAAGTATATGCAACGTAAAACTTCATTTTTCTCCAAAATAGAGTAATTTCATAACGAAATTGAATTTAATCCAAGCATATTTTATTTTAGAGTTAAAGTAGAATACTTGATAAAAATAAAATTATTACTCATTTATGACGTAACTTTATGTTCATTCCATTATAAAATAAAAAAATATAATGAGATTATAATATCTTGTACTTCAGTTTTTATTTTATAGTAAATTATATAGTGAAATTGGAGATAGTCTAATCAAAACTATCTAACTCGTACCTAAATATTTGAAATTCCTAAAATGTGCAGGTATACATTGCAAACTTATTGTATAAAGTTCTAACTATTGTATAAAGTTCTAACTATCTTATAGGGAATTGTGAATATTGATGTCTCATATGTTATATACAATATAACACTGCAAAAATAAGTAGCATACATTTACAAATCCTATAATTTCAACTTGGGACGAAAATAAAGTAGGATGTGCGTTACTTTATACATAAAGAAAAGTTTAGAGAATGTATGGACAAAAATGAGAAAGAAATATGTAAGAATTTGTGTATAAATTGGAGCCAAGTGTTGGCACACACTTATTAAATTGGAGCCAAGTACTACTCTTGGCACACGCCTATTAATATTAAATTGGAGCCAAGTACTACTTGGCACACGCCTAAACACTCCAAATTCTCCCAAACACTCCTTTTGTCACACTACTCATCTCAGGTTCACGTGATTACTTCACTTGTATAAGCGTTGACTATTGAGAACACACAGTAAAAAATGATTATTCTTTCTTTTATCTCATAATTAAATTCTTGGATTATTTCTCAGACCATATCCAATATAGTTTACTATTCTTTTTATGTTATAATAGATTTAATATATTTTCAAAAATAAATCTTTAAATATATAACAAAAATAGAAAATGCTATTTTCTCTATAAAATAGAGAAAATATAGCATTCTTTATTTTATAGGAAAACATAGACACGAAATAAAATAATTTTAGCTTTAAGTATTATTAAAAAGGTAAATATATAAGTGAGTTGGAAATGCTTTAGTAAGTATTGGCATATATCTTTTCTATCCCAAATAAGTAGTTTGTATTCACATGTTTAGTGTATGGTTATGATTGTGATTGTGAGAAAGACTATATAACGTGTTTAAAACTGGATGGCTGTTTTTCTTGGAAAGAAAAAATTGGTTGGTTGTTAATATCTAGTATCTACTTCTTCCATTTTAATATATATATATATAGATATAAGATTCATATTTTATTAATATAATTTAGTCGACATATTCACAACATTCAGTAAATCATGACTACGATGCAGGGCCGGCGTTGGGCAAAGCCGGATGAAACATTGGCCTTGGCCTCCAATACTTTTTAAAAAAATTACTTGTATATAGGCCCCCAGAAGAAATTTTTTTAGACCCCCAAATCCGTTAAAATATTCTTTTTAGGTGAAATCGTTAAGAAATCGCCTTAAACCGCATAATTCTCAGAGCCGACCCTGCTATGATGCAGAATGTTAGACGTTCACATCTTCGTATTTTTGTTGTTGTTTTTTATGGTGCAAAACAGTTAATTAGTGTATGAACCTATAATTGAATATTTGAATAAACACAACTTAATGATTTAATTATTAATTTTTAAAATTAACACGTATAATTACTTATTAAAAAATGATAATCTATTCATAATCAACTATATGGTTTTTGTCTGTTTTTCTTTCTTGGAAATGAATGGGGGAAGTGGTAATGTTGGTAGTGAAATAGACGTGGATGCTTTGGGAAAGAGAGCCTTATCTCACGGAACAATTACATACACGACACGCACTACTATATACAAATACAAATCACCTGTGTTGGTCTGTGTTGCCATCTTTATGTTATTTGTATTTAACAAACACAAAAACACTTTGAAGGTTTTGTAACTGCCGAAAAGAGAGGGTTTCAAATTATTAATTAATATTTAATGATAAAGTAATTTATTTGGAAGCTAGCGAATTTCAGTAGTGCAATATGATTCACTTTTTTTTAGTGGAAGATATCAAAAATAAATAAGGATCTAAGGAGAAACTAAAACTCTTTAAAAAAATAAAAACTACAACTAAAACTCTTTCTCCACTATCATGATTATAAGTAAGAAAAGTTTCAATGAAAAAAAAAATATTTATACCCTTTCACAGTGATGAGCTTCAGCACCATGTCTTTTTATAGTTTATGAGGACTATGTTTCCTATTTATTTATTTTTTAAATACAGTGTTCAATTATTTGTACCAATTTTCCTTCAATAAATAAAAAATCCATGTTATTGGTTTAAAAAAAAAATCAATATTATTAGTGTCTATAGTTCGGACGGAAATGAAAAGCATGAAAAGTTAGGGAAGAACCTTTATTTTTTAAACTCAAACTTTTTTCAAAGAAAGGAAGAAATCTCACACTTTTTTTCCAAATTAATCCTAAAGATATGCATGCTCGTTACGTGTCTATAAATACACATACATAATTACAAACATATCGCTTATATAATCCTCCCCTTTACATCCTATTCTTGAAAACATTTAAGAGTTTTTCAGACACGACAAACCAAACACATAGAGAGTTTCTGCGGAGAAGCTCCATTGATGACGGAAACTGGTGATCATACTTCAGTTCCGGCCAGCGTGGTCAGGCAAATCCCATTTCTTGTTATCTTCAAAGATTTAACGTAAGTGTGTATTTATATCTCATGCCAAAAAGATGTGTTTATATGAAATGGCGTGATGCATAACGTTTATTTGTATATATAAAACTGCAGACATGTATTCAGTAAGGATGCAATTGGACGAGAGATATTAGGCATAGCGTTTCCAGCGGCTTTAGCTTTAGCTGCTGATCCAATAGCCTCCCTGATTGACACCGCTTATATCGGACGTTTAGGAGCGGTTGAGCTAGCAGCAGTTGGAGTATCTATTGCTATATTCAATCAAGCTTCTAGAATCACGATATTCCCAATTGTGAGCGTTACAACTTCCTTTGTCGCTGAGGAAGACACGATGGAGAAGATGAAAGAAGACGAAGCAAAGAAAACCAGTCTTGTTCATGCAAATACTTTAGCTGTTCAAGATTCATTGGAAAAAGGCATTGCGTCACCCACAAGTAACAACATGAACCAGCCGCAGCAGCCGCCAGGTAAAAACCGCCATGGACCAAATTATTACATTATCTAAAAGCATCATTAGTGAATAATTTTCCAGTGAAATATCTCATGTATTTTTTTTTATTGTGTAATTAAAATAAAAACAAAACTATTTTTGAAGTGATATATGACATGAATCTTTCATGTGTTTCGTAGAGTTTTTGCAAAGAAGAAACGTTTCTTTCCATTTTACACACTTTCTCTTCATTTTTCAGTTTGTATTATTATAATGTGAAAGACTTGATTAGATACTCCACCACAATTTTCAAATTTTAAAGTTTTTTTTAGTTAGTGTGTTAGCATTAATTTGCATTTTAAGTAATTTTTTGATGTTGCACAATTTATTTTTGATTGTAGTTTTCAGTTTCTGATAAACTTTCTTTTTCGCTTTTTGTAATTTAAGTTATCTTTTCTAAAATACTTTTGAATAACTAAAGGACTTTAAAAAAATGTAATGAAGTAACTAATTATCCTTGATTTTGCTGTCACTAGCTTTAGCTACAAAGTCAAGCAGCGGAACCAAAGCAAATAAGAAGGGAAAGAAGAATATCAAATCGGCATCAACGGCTATGATCATAGGACTAATCCTAGGCCTTTTGCAAGCTATAGTTTTGATTTTCAGCTCAAAACTGCTCCTAGGTGTCATGGGAGTGAAACCGGTATAAAGATATATAAATAGATAGACATGCGCATATTATTGAATAGAACAAAATGTTGACTATCTTGAGTCAACTTTTGATGATCAGAATTCAGCAGTGTTATCACCAGCTCACAAGTACTTAACCATACGATCACTAGGTGCTCCTGCATTGCTTCTATCACTTTCAATGCAAGGCATCTTTCGTGGCTTCAAGGATACCACAACTCCTCTCTATGCTACTAGTAAGTTACATTTTATCATCTTTAGGCAAACATATTACCATATCATGAGAGTCTAACATGTATCATGTTGATGCATGAAACAGTTGTAGCAGATGTTATTAATATCATTCTCGACCCTATTTTCATCTTTGTGCTTCACCTTGGTGTCAGCGGTGCGGCCATTGCCCATGTCATTTCTCAGTAAGAAAATATCTCTCAACTTTTTTCACACATGAAAATGTGAAAACTAAAACTTGTAAACCCTAAAACTTGCGTGAATCAAAAGAAACAAGAAAGATAAAACTAATGGTTTCGCTTGTGTGTGAAGGTACTTCATGACTCTAATATTGTTCATTCGCCTCGCGAGTAAAGTTAATTTGATGCCACCAAACTTTGGAGCTTTGCAGTTTGGAAAGTTCCTTAAAAATGGTAGGGACGCATGTTCATTTAAGTTGTGTTTTTTTTCTTGCAAATGATCAAAAGTTTATTACAAGTAAAAACGTGACAACATCATTTTTTCTTTTCAAAATTTTCAAAAAGTCTGTTTAAGCGTCACTTTAGTTACCGTATAAAGACTTTTTGAACATTTTTTTCAAGTATATATATTGGAATAGTGAGAAAAAAATATTTTTAAAATAGACAGAAATGTGGGATGTCTAACAAGTTGTAATATTGTGCACGCAAAACTGAAAGGTGGATTACTGCTGGCAAGGACCATAGCTGTAACGTTTTGTCAGACACTAGCAGCAGCAGTGGCGGCTCGGCTCGGAACAACACCAATGGCTGCTTTTCAGATATGTTTACAAGTCTGGTTAACTACTTCTCTCCTTGCCGATGGTCTTGCCGTAGCTGGTCAGGTATAATCAATTATTATTTTATTTATCATGTTAGCATGGTTTGATCAAGTTGTATATGGAAATCATAATTAACTTTAAATCTTTTGCAGGCGATTTTGGCTTGTTCTTTTGCCGAGAAGGACTACAACAAAGTGTCTTCTGCTGCATCCCGTGTTCTACAGGTTATGTCTCGGTCATTTTGACTACTCATTGGTACCAACCTCCAGTGAATGATTTAGGTCTCGGTCCAAACACCCACAATTATTAAGAAAAAAACTAAAACAAATTAATTTGATATGCAGATGGGATTTGTGCTAGGACTTGGACTGTCCCTTTTCGTTGGACTAGGACTATACTTTGGTGCCGGAATATTCACTAAGGACCCTGCCGTTATTCACCTCATAGTGATTGGAATACCGGTACTAATAATACCATTAAGCAATACTGATAAGTAGTAATATTGACTGATAAAAAGGTTACATATGTTTGTGTGGGAGACATCAGTTTGTGGCAGCAACACAGCCAATAAACTCACTTGCTTTTGTGTTGGATGGAGTCAATTTTGGAGCATCTGATTTTGCTTACACTGCTTACTCCATGGTATGCTCTATTTTCATTAAATAATTAATATATTTTCAGAATGATTACTTCTTTTCACATGTTTTTCTTAGAATCTGAATTTATTATGATAAATTAGTTAGGAGTTGCGGGCATAAGCATAGCAGCAATAATATACATGGCAAAGTTCAACGGTTTTCTTGGAATATGGATAGCTCTTACGATCTATATGGGCCTCCGAGCTATTACTGGAATTGCCAGGTAACTGATTGGGCCTTAATGGGCTTTTATCACCATTTTAGTAGACGTTGCAGTCTTTTTGACTCTGAAATTATGCAGGATAGCAACAGGAACTGGACCTTGGAGATATTTGCGTGGACGGTCTCCTTCATCTTCCTAGGACTTAGTTTATAACGAGATGCATCTTTTTCAGCCTTTCTTCGTTTTTGGAGTATATTTCTCGTGTCCTTTTCACATTTTGCACGAAAGAGCTCTCTATCTTGTAAGGTTAAACAGTTCCAAATAAATAATTTGGTCAGACGATCATTCACTTTTTGCATAACACCATAAGTAGCCCTGGATGGCTTACACATTTTCAAATACTACTTCAAAGAAGTATGTAACTCACATCTACGCACTAGGTCCATAATACTACTTTTTGCATACTCATGTAACGATTACTTTGGTTACTAAATTGCAAAAAAAACAAGGTTATTACCAATTTATCAAAAGTGAAATTAAACAGGAGGTGGTGGCAAATCAATAAGAAGCCAAAAGCCAACACAATCATCAGAATCCAAATCATCTTGGATTGCAAGAAAATGCAAACCTCCACTTGCTTTCTTTGCAGATTCCCAAGCCTCAGCTTCATCAGTAGTAACAGGTGTTTTCTTGTAAGTTGCATAGACATATCTCGTCGAGATCCCAACGGCCAGAATCAAACATCCTTTTGAACTATCTGCCTCGATCGAACACACCTCAAGACCATTCATCCAAGCTATAATGACAAATATACAAGCTCAAGATCAGAAACCACATAACAGCAACAACTAACTACAACACACTAACCTGCTAGAGGTTTTGCACGTGAAGAAGCAACAGAGAGACCAGGGATCAGTGTGTTGTCATCAACGTCAATGCCGAGTAAATCCAAGTCTAAGGTTGCACCAAACACAAACTTCTCATCAAAGTCTGAGATCTCTTCTCTAACAGCTGAGTAAGGTAACTGAACAAACGCCCATTTCTCCCCAAACAAATTCTCAGGAAGATTCATTGGAAAAGGATTGTCTAAAGATAGAAGAGGCAATGATCCTTTCTGGAAACCTGGGTGACGTGTGTACACAGTGTCATAACGTTCTTGTAACCATAGAAATAGAGACAAACACTGCAAAACAAAGTTCACTTCTTGTTATATATAAACAAAAAAAATTATATAGACAATTTGTGTTTCAAAAAAAAAAAAATTATATAGAAAATTTAGTAAAAATTTATATAAATCCTTTTTCTTTTTTTAATAACATAAAATTGGAGACCTAATTATATGTAAATTTTCCTTAAAATTTTGGAGATTAGAGACTAATGATTCACTAGCTTATACTCATGAAAAAAAAAAGACTATGCACACACCCGTTTACTAGGAACTTCCTTAATAGCAAGCTCTTTGCAAGCTTTTGTGATAATGGTTTGCATCTGTGACCTGTAACATAAAAAAAAAACACAATATTCAACAATAAGAATATCTTTTAAAAAAGATCTCCTTTATGAACTGTTTTTGTTCACTACCTGAAGAAACGAATCTTCTCAGGGAGAGGAACACCTAAGTCTTGTGTAATGGAAACTATAGCGTCTTTGAGTGTAATACTGTTGATAACATTGTTTGGGAAGTACTTGGTGACTTGAAGAGAAAGCGAAGCATCGCAAACCACAAGCTCCCATATCTTCTTCCCTCTAGAGTCAAGAATAGGCCTCGAGCAGAAGTCAAGTTCCCACTCTTTTATGCTCTCTGCATCGGTCTCTGGATCAAGATAACTCAGCTCTGAGGTTGGATCATCAGTTTCTTCCTCCTGGTTGATGACAGTCTCTTCTTTTGTCTCGGGTAAGGATCGAGAGATGAAGCAGGTGCGTTTGGATAAGGTTCTGGAGGAGGAGGAGAGATGGGTTTTGATGGGTTTAGTGAAAGAAGATGATTTAGAGATTCTTGGAAGTGAAGGTGTTTGCATACGAGTGGTGTTGAAGCTTAGAGTCGCCATTGAAAGGAGGAAAACAGAGAGGAAGAAGAGGATGAATGTTTAGAAAAAAGATTTTATCCTTTTCGGTTGGTCTTTCCTCAGCCACATTTTAAAAAAATCAGAGAGGGGTAAATTGATAATTATAGAAATAAAGGTTAAAAACCGTAAAGAAATAAAATATTAGGGGTTCAATAATAAAAGAAGAAAGTGGCGCGTGAGGAAATCGACGACATTAACTGTCTCTCTGTTAATCCAGTTCGGTCACAATGTCCGAACCAAAAATCTTAGTTGTCTTTTCCTTAATTTATGATTTTCTTATAAAATGATTATTAATAATTTAAACAACGAAGAATCTGTAATCAATCTCTCGAATTTCTGTAAATTAAAACCCTAATTGTAATTGTTCATGTCGTCGTGAAATGGATCGGATTCGTTGAATTGTTCGTGTGACGACGGAGGAAGGAAGGAGAAAGAGATGGCGCGACAAATGACGTCATCTCAGTTCCACAAATCAAAGACTCTCGACAACAAATATGTAAACGCCTCCCTCTTCTTCTGATTCTAATTCTGAGGCAAATGATGAGACTTTTTTTTGTTTTTTACTATTTTGATGGCAGATGCTTGGGGATGAGATTGGTAAAGGAGCATATGGTCGAGTTTACATAGGATTAGACCTGGAGAATGGAGACTTTGTCGCCATTAAACAAGTCTCCTTGGAGAATATTGTTCAAGAGGATCTCAACACCATCATGGTTTGGTTTCGTTATTTTGTTTACTTTATGGACTAATGTGTTTGGTCTCTCATCTCCTTTCCTGTTTTTTTTACATTTTGATGGTTCTTGGATGTTGGGATGATGTTTTCTCTAGCAAGAAATCGATTTGTTGAAGGTACTTTCCTTCAGCAATTTGTTCAGTTTACACATTGTTTAAACTTTATCCTCTGGAACTGCAATGCATTTAGAGCTTGACTCATTGTGGGCATAATTGTTTTACAAATTTGAGATAATCAATCACTTTCACAGCTTTGGCTTCTTCTCATTAATGGTTAGTTTCCTTCTTTGTCCTTCTAACATGATGTTTCTAATGCAGAACTTGAACCATAAAAACATTGTCAAGTATCTTGGCTCCTTGAAGACAAAGACTCACCTTCATATTATCCTGGAGTAAGTACTACTTTTGTGCTTACTTTGGTCCATGTGAAATTCAAGTCTATAATAATATATGTTTGCAGGTATGTGGAGAATGGATCTCTTGCTAACATTATCAAACCAAATAAATTTGGACCTTTCCCAGAATCATTGGTCACTGTTTACATTGCACAGGTCCGTCTGTATATATGTTTTTCTAGTTGAGTTTATGGAAACTTCTGTGTACTAACTAACTAGTGAATTACAGGTCTTGGAAGGTTTAGTATATCTGCATGAGCAGGGTGTCATACACCGTGATATTAAGGGTGCAAATATTTTAACCACAAAAGAGGTGTGTGTTTTCCCTACCCTTGTGGATTGTATTAGTAACTCTTATGTCTGGGATGCACTTGATTTTTTCTAGGCTATTCTTTCTTTGACACTAGAAAATCTCATACTTCAGGGCCTTGTTAAGCTTGCTGACTTTGGGGTTGCCACTAAACTAAACGAGGCTGATGTTAACACTCACTCAGTAGTTGGAACTCCTTACTGGATGGCGCCTGAGGTATACCTTTGGAAATACATATGTAATTGTAACTTTGATTATTTGTGTACTGATGTAAACTCAAATTTTGCTTAAAGGTTATTGAAATGTCAGGGGTTTGTGCTGCTTCTGACATTTGGAGTGTTGGATGCACTGTTATCGAACTTTTGACATGTGTACCTCCTTACTATGATCTGCAACCCATGCCTGCCCTCTTCCGTATTGTTCAGGTTTTTTCAACACTTAACAAGTTTGCTTTATGTCATTGTTGTAAATCACTTCTCTCCTGGAAAATAAATGCCAGTGCTGTTAGCCAGTAGTTTCAAACTATATTGCCTTTTCTGGTTTTGTTTTAGGATGATAGCCCTCCTATTCCTGATAGTCTCTCTCCAGATATTACAGACTTCCTTCGACAGTGTTTCAAGAAGGTATAGTTTGCTGCAACAGTTCTTGATCATTCTACTTGCCACTGTATCGGAACCTGTGGCTCCATTATTCACTATCTGATTTTACTATCTGATTTGTATCTTGCATACTACAGGATTCTAGGCAGAGGCCTGATGCTAAGACACTGCTCTCTCACCCTTGGATACGGAACTCTAGACGAGCATTGCAGTCATCACTTCGGCATAGTGGAACCATCAAGTGAGAACACTTGTGTGTTTATACTTTAACTTTTGGAAAAATATTTCAAAACAATTATCTGTCTCATCACAGTGCTTTGCAAATGTGTTTGTAATGATGGCCTTGTGTATGTCATCCTCTGCAGATATATGAAGGGAGCTGATTCTAGTTCAGAGAAAGACGGAGAAGGTAATCAAGATGTAGCTGAGAGCATTTCAGCAGAAAAAGTGGGGATGTCAAAAAGGGTAAGACTCCTAAGCTCTATTGTACCATCAGTGATGAGCAGTATAACACATTGAAGCTAGAGATGAACTTTGCTAAAGCTACTTATGTTTGTCCAGAACTCGAAAAGCAAATTACCTGGTGTGGCGAGTTTTAGGTCTGAGAAAGATCAGTCTTCAGCCAGTGATTTTGGTGACGAAAGAGCAGATTCCGAAGACGATATCATGTCAGATCAAGTTCCTACGTTATCTATCCATGATAAGTCTTCTCTTCAGTCAAGTACTTGCAGTATATCTTCGGATGCCAAGGGGACATCTCAAGATGGGAAATCTGAACATGATGAAGATTTTGAAACGAAAGCTTCTGCAGGTAGAAGAAAAACTTCAGCAACAAAGCAGGTTGGAAAAGAATGTTCCATCCCGGTGGCGCAGAGATCACATAGTTTTGGCCCAAAAGGTGAAGATCGTGGGCTTCGAAAGGTTAGTTGTGTTATTGCATCACTCTTGTCTTAGCACTTTGTTAGATGTCAACTATGGAGGATGATGTGCTTTTGTGTGCTGAGTTAATTGGTAAATTCCTTTTTCTTTACTGGTAGAAACAAAATAGTTTGCTGAACTTGTAGGCTTGTAGTTATTTGATTTTGTTTTTGGCATGTTCCACTCTTTCACGCTTAGATGCTTCAACAGTGAGATAGAATTTTGTTTGTTGATGGGTCTTGATCTTGTTCGTTACAAGATCTTATCCTAATACCTTCACTTACTTTGTTGATATGTATTCATTGTACTGAGTTGAAGACTTGCAAACTGACTAGATCTGTTATCTTTGTTATAACTATCTTAAAGGCTGCGAAGACTCCATCTAGTTATGGTGGGAATGAACTAACTAGATTTAGTGATCCTCCCGGGGATGCTTGTTTGCATGATTTGTTTCAACCATTGGATAAAGTTCCCGAGGGAAAACTAAATGAAGCCTCAGCATCAACGCCTGCATCAAATGTCAATCAGGGTGATTCTCCTGTGGCAGATGGTGGAAAGAATGACCTGGCAACAAAGTTGAGGGCTAGAATTGCGCAGAAGCAAATGGAAGGTGAAACTGGCCATTCAAATGATGGTGGTGATCTTTTCCGGTTAATGATGGGTGTTTTGAAAGATGATGTTATTGACATTGATGGCTTGGTATACTCTAACTCAATCATGCAGGTTTTGATATCTCAAATAGTGCATCATTAACATGTTTTCATTTCTTGTTTTCTCAGGTATTTGATGAAAAAGCTTCTCCTGATAATCTGCTTCCTCTCCAGGTATTCTGCAATTTTTTTTATCTCCTGTGGTTTAGCATTTTATATCATGCTGATGCTACTTGAGTGACTCACTCTCAACTGAGTTAATCTTAGTATTAAATTTTTAAGTTCTTTTAGGCAGTTGAGTTTAGCAGATTGGTGAGCTCCTTACGGCCAAGTGAAACAGAAGATGCAATAGTAACTTCATGTCAGAAACTTGTTGCCATGTTCCGTCACAGACCTGAGCAGAAAGTAGTGTTTGTGACACAACATGGTTTTCTCCCTGTAATGGATCTACTTGATGTTCCTAAATCTCGTGTATGTTTGCTTGTCCTTCATCATAAGTATTTGTTACTTCGATGTGAATACTACCAACTGCCTTATGATTTGTGAATTGTTTTCTGGTGTTTTCAGGTAACATGTGCCGTGCTGCAGCTGATAAACGAAATTATAAGAGATAACACTGACTTCCAGGAAAATGCATGTCTTGTTGGGCTCGTAAGTATTTGGTTACTAATTTGGTGTATATTGTGGTGAATATTGATTAATTCAAGTGAAATGGCAGATACCTCTGGTAGTGAGTTTTGCTGGTCCTGAGAGGGATCGATCTAGAGAAATACGTAAGGAAGCAGCCTACTTCTTGCAACAGCTTTGTCAGTCAAGGTTACAAGTCATCAAATATATATATTATTTTTGCTTCTATATTTGTTTTTTTCTTGCAAGTCATAGAGCTGATTTGTTAGCTTCTTTACAGCTCCTTGACATTGCAAATGTTCATAGCTTGTCGTGGAATACCAGTTTTGGTGGGTTTTCTTGAAGCAGATTATGCCAAATACAGGTAGGTACATCTAACCATCTTCTTATGGTGTTTGGACTATTTTCAATACATTTAGTGCAGAAGCTAATGTGAGACAGCATCTGATTATGTTTTTGAACCTGTCGTCATGCCTAATTTATACGATGTGTTTCTTCTACTGAACAGCTGATGTCTCAATAGCTGACCATTTTCTTGATTCTGCTCTTTTCAGTTTAATCAATTATGGTCCCTTTCACTCTTTGTGTGCTACTAATTTATAATGTATGATTTGATTCAGGGAGATGGTTCACTTAGCTATTGATGGGATGTGGCAGGTTTTTAAACTCAAAAGATCCACCCCAAGAAATGATTTCTGTCGTATAGCTGCAAAGAATGGAATTCTCCTTAGGCTGATCAACACTCTTTATAGCTTAAACGAGGCAACTCTACTATCTTCTGAAGGACTCTCTGGTCAACTTAACCCTAACAATTCAATTTTTGGTCAGCATGAGACTTCACTCAATGTGATTGATCATCCTGATATGTTCAAAAGTAGGCATGGAGGTGGTGAAGAGCCTTCTCATGCTTCAGCTACAACTTCTCAAAGATCAGATGTCTATCAACCAGATGGTGATAGGCCTAGATTAAGCAGTGCTGCTGCACTAGATGTCACAGAAGATGTTAGACCAAATCATAGGATATCCTTCTCTTCCAACAGAACATCCACAGACAAGCTTCAGAAACTTGGGGAGGGTGTCTCTAATGGATTTGCTGTTACTCATCCAGAACAAGTCCGACCTTTGCTTAGCTTGTTGGAGAAAGAACCTCCTTCAAGACTTGTTTCTGGTCAACTAGACTACGTGAAGCACATCGCTGGCTTAGAGAAACATGAAAGTATACTTCCTCTTCTGCGTGCATCTATTGATACTATGCCTAGATATTACAGTAAAACGATGTCAAAGAAAGTTATGGCTATTGAGAGTGCCGCTTCTGCATCTGGTGTACTGTCAGGTTCTGGTGTTCTAAATGCTAGACTTGGAAGTGACACATCATCTGGTTTACTTTCCCATATGGTCACTACGCTGAGTGCAGAGGTCGCAAGTGAATACTTGGAGAAAGTGGCTGATCTGCTTCTTGAATTTGCTCGAGCTGATACTACAGTTAAATCATACATGTGTAGCCAAAGCTTACTGAGTCGTCTTTTCCAGATGTTTAACCGTGTAGAACCTCCTATTCTGCTAAAGGTACTTCAAAATATTATGAAGTTTCGTCTCCTTTATTCAGTGGCATGCTTATAATGCCTTTTGTTTGTTCAGATACTGAAGTGCGCCAATCATTTATCCACTGATCCAAATTGCTTGGAGAATCTTCAGCGTGCAGATGCAATTAAGCACTTGATCCCCAACCTTGAGCTTAAGGAGGGGAATCTTGTTTATCAGATCCATCATGAGGTTACCTTCTTGACTTGAATAGAGATAACTTTCATCTATTGGTTACAACTTGTTGTCAGTATACTAAGTTTTGGTTCTTGTTCCTGTCTTTATATCATTTAGGTACTTAGTGCACTATTCAATCTGTGCAAGATAAACAAGAGGAGGCAAGAACAAGCGGCTGAAAATGGAATCATACCACACCTGATGCTTTTCGTCATGTCGGATTCTCCTCTGAAACAGTATGCATTGCCACTACTGTGTGATATGGCTCATGCATCTCGCAACTCAAGAGAGCAGTTAAGGGCTCACGGTGGTCTGGATGTTTACCTGAGTTTGCTAGACGATGAATATTGGTCCGTGATTGCCTTAGATTCTATTGCTGTTTGCTTGGCGCAAGACAATGACAACCGCAAGGTGGAACAGGCGTTGCTGAAAGATGATGCCATTTATACATTGGTTAACTTCTTCCAGAGCTGTCCAGAGAGACATTTTGTGCACATACTGGAACCATTCTTGAAGATTATAACGTATATATCTCTCCTCTCATATAACAAATCATCTAACTATGAGTGAAGTTGATGTATCTCCCTCCTCTTAAGGTGGAGCTAATATTCTTCTCCTTGTTGATTCCAGGAAATCATCTCGAATCAATACGACATTGGCTGTAAATGGATTGACTCCGTTGCTTATTGCAAGGCTAGACCACCAAGATGCTATTGCTAGACTTAACCTACTGAAACTCATAAAGGTAATGGATCATTAGACCATCCAAGTTCTTGCTTGTCTTGTTGTAGTGGTGTTATTGAGTGTTTTGTTTTGGGGGTATCATTGAAACAGGCTGTTTATGAGCACCATCCAAGGCCAAAACAGCTGATTGTAGAGAATGATCTCCCTCAGAGACTCCAGAATCTGATTGAAGAGCGACGTGAAGGGCAACATTTAGGAGGACAAGTTCTGGTAAAACAAATGGCAACATCCCTCCTCAAAGCACTTCACATTAACACCGTCTTGTGAGAGAGTCCAAAACCAACCTCTGCCTTGGGACTGTACACTTCCATTTTTTGCAGGAAGGATATACTCAAAAGTGAATATTTTTATCTTCTTTTCCATTAACAAAAGTTTTGTATTTGTTGAGTTGTGTGGCTCTCTTGAGTTTTTTTAGTAGAGATGCCAACACTTGATCGTTTGGGTGATACTTGATTGTTTGATTTGCTGATACATAAATTTGTAATCATTCTTTATTCTTTCATAATAGCATTGTTCTTAAAAACATGATCTAATACTTCAAACATTGTCTATATATACACAACTCACTACTACATTAAGTGAATATAGAAAAAGTCTGAAATGAGTGTTGTAGAGATCAAAAGTGATCAAGTGCAAATGGAATGAGAAACACGTTCTCTAGTGTCCAACTTCACATTGGAGCAAGAAGCTTTGGAGACATCTTGTTTGGTAATATGATGGACCAGTTTAACATTTTGCATTGATATACCTCGACATGGAATGCTCTTGCTGCACATAAATTTCACAGCTTCGGATCTTGAGCTCGTCCCATGTATGTTTTTGTACAATACATTGCTCACTTGTACAGCCGATTTCTGCAACGTATCACATATCAGCTTTATTATTAGTACTCAAATCGTGGTAAAAAAAAGATTTGGTTTATTCGGTGCAAACCTGTTCGGGACATGATTCAGGTCGATCACAATAGTCCTGGTTGATGATTATTGGGTTTGTAACGTTTTTCATTAAGATGTTCTGGAATATTATGTTCTTTGCCATTCCATGTCCTCCCTGCTCATGAATAGTAATTATACTTTTTTAACATCTAATTAAGTTTTGACTAATGTTAAAATTGATAAAATAATAGTGTTGGAGATTTACCTGCCAAGTTTTGATTCTCACACCATTAGTGGTTCCTATAAGAGTTGCTTTGTTGACTACCACATTAGAAACATATGCTTCTGAGTTATTAGCTCCCAAACTCCCAATGCTAATAGAAACAAAAGTAGTAATATTGAGATATAGTGTAGTTAACAAAGTAAAAGAGAGAACGAAAAAAAGGAAAATGCATTGAGAACTCATGAAAAGTCAACATTAATTCATAAATAACACTTGTTTTTTTAATTGGTTAAAATTCTAAACAATAAGTATTCAAATGAAATTTAAACTAGAATACTATACTGTTTAGATATTTGTTTTTGGAATCTCTAGCAAATGGAGATGAATTTAGAATGGCTAAGACCTTTTAGAAACATTGCATCTAACTTTACTCTTATATTTTAATAACTTTTAGCATCTCTTTTTGTATAGAATATTTTGTCTATTTCAAGTTGATACAAATTAGTTGATCTCTTTCCAACAAAGAAAAACAGTTAGTTGACAAATTGAGTGTTGTGTATGTCTGCTTAAAATAAGATAAACAAAAATTAGGTGAAAATAGGGGGAGAGATAGTTAGACCTGATTCCATGACCCGGCCCGCAAGTAATGCCCGTCGCTCTCACATTCTCCGACCCACTCACTATCGATATACAATCATCACCTTCATCACCAAAATCAAACCAACACATTACTATTTATTTTTCACATGAAAATAATATAAGTCACTTGTTTCCCCTTTACCATCTGAATTTTCTTTTCCTTTCAAACATAAACAATCAAAGGGAAAAGAAAGTCTAGTGTAAAGTTTGATATGAAAATTTACTCCTATTTTTAGGAATATGTTTTCTTTTTTTCTTTCTTTAAAATGTGACAAACCAATACTATATTAACGAGTGTAATCTCAAAAGAATTGTTAATTACCAGTACGGATGATAGAATCTTGAATGAGGATATTGCGAGTTCCCGTAACGTGAATGCCATCGGTGTTAGGACTATTACCCGGAGAAGTGATCATAAGATTCAAAGCCTTCACGTTTTCACAATCTTGAAGCCTCATATGCATCTGTTGTGCGTTTTCTAACCTAATGTTTCTTACCATCAATTTATTGCATTCCACAAACGTTACCGCCTGTCCCATTTATTTCATTTACATCAACCCATTAATCGAAACTGAAATAACAAAAAAAGTAATGCGTTTGGAGGTTCTCACCGTGGGAGCTCCCAGGCATGGCTGTGTAACAAAGATATAATGGTAGTTAATAATCTAGTTAGTCAGTTTCTATAACTTATGTCTTTTTAAGACATTGAGCTTACAAGTTCAGGGTTGATCTTGCAAGATTGTGCCCACCAGATTTTTCCATTGCCATTGATGCGTCCGCCGCCTTCAACACGAAGGTTATCAACAGTATGGAAAACAATCCAGAACCTACGTTCCTTGTAGTCTGATGGATTTTTCCATGCCTTAATCTTACCGTAAATCTTATTCAAAAATATTATGAATAAGATGATCAAAACACTCTACAATAATAACTGAACTGACTTACATTAGTTTATATCATACCTTAAAAACAATCAAGGATGATTTACATGGACCGGAGAATTTGACCGGTTTAAGAGTGTAAGCTCTATTATCCGGAACCACGATGTAAACTGTTCCCTCCGACGAACAAGCTGCTTCCCATGCTTTCATGAATGCCTATACGACTCAAAACATATTATTTCATTTACATTGATTATACAAGATTTTCATTTATATAATGGTAAAGAAATATAAAACATGGATACCTGAGAGTCGTCGTTTCCATTGGCTTTAGCACCAAATGCATTGACGTTAAAAGCTCGAGGAGAGGATGTAGGAGCATATGCATGGTGATGATGGTTGCGTTTAATGTGGCCATGTTGGTGATTGGTTTCATAATAAACATTTGGAGACATGGAATGATCATATCTAGGATCAAACGGGTAGCTGCTAGAACAAGAACGAAGAGATGTTAAGATAATTGTTAAGAAGATTATGCTCTTTTGGTACATTTTTGGTAGATTCTCTCAAGAGTTAGATTAAGATTGGGTTTGACGTAGAAAGAATGATGAGGAATGAAATGAGTGAGGTGTCATAGGAATGCAAAAATGCATATATATATTTATAGAGATGGGAGAGATGGAGAGGTATTGATTGAAAGAGATTTAGACGATAATATTCGTTATAATTCCTTTTTTGTCATCAAAAGTTCGTTATAATTCCTCACGTTTATTACTCAAATCGTTTCCACAATTTGTACGTTTAGCATTAACATTAAATTTTTGATAAAAGTAACGCAAAGAAAATAGCTTAGAGGATTTATATGAATAAATAACTAAAAATCTGAAAAATGAAAGAGCTAATTAATCTCGGCCTAAGCAAAGACTTTGACTTCTCTCATAAAGATTATTTTGAAACTTTTTTACCAGTTTTATATAGTATAGATTTATTCTAATTTTATGATAAGAATTAATTTTAATATTTTGAATATATCCAAACTTGTAAATTTTGGATCGATATAGGTACCATCTCTCTAAAAAGTAGCATAGTTATTTTACTGAGAAATAGTTTCTGCTTTCTTCATCATCTATCTCTTATTTTCTTTACTGAGTAGTCAAAAAAATGTAATTAATATATAAAAGGATATGAGAAATCAACTTATTATCAATAAATTTTTAAGTTAAAAATTGGTGATAAACCACTAAAATTTAACACTTTAGAGTTACGTAAGGTAAATATTATTGAATTATATATTATTGTGCTTGTTTTAATGAATACATGGGTTTTGTACATATATATATACACAAATTAAATATCTTCATGATTAGACTTTAATGATCCATAATAATTGGTCCGTAAGGTACACATACTTGATTCCTAAGTTAAATCTCCAATATTTATATCTTAGTCTTGTAGTGTTGTGGTCAAAGTATTTGTCTATTTCGGTAAGAAACCAAATTTAAAGTATTTTCCAGTGTTGTCTGTGGTGGAGAAGTACGGTCCTAGAACTAGCTCGAAACATGTTGTGTTTGGTACGTAGTATGAATCAAGATACAGTCAAAAGAAATTAGGCAGTACATGCTAACAGAAAAGAGAGAAGATGGATAATCGGTAAATTATATCAAAAGGTTAAGTTAGAGAATGTTTAGATTGTTTGCATTGGAATGGGATTTTGCGTGTGTGACATTATTTTACTCTATACTCTTTAGTTTGTGTTAGGTGATGATATCAAACAAGACAAAACCAGAAACAATGACACTTGTTTGTTATAATTTTCATAAACTATATGATCCTATGTAGACTGCGGCCCTCCTGGTTGGCGGTGTTTGCTTAACCGACTTGAAAACATTTTATTTCCTCGTATATTTCACTTGAAAGTATAATTGCTACTTGTTAGAATATCTCAAAAAAACTCTTTATAATTTTAAATATATAGTTTTATGTTCTCTGAAAAAGAAATTTCAAAATTTCAAAATTTCAAATTTGAAATTTTAGAGAGATAAACTTCATATTTGAAGTTTCACTTCTCAAAACTCTTTTTTTTTGCAATTTATTCCTTATATTTACATATCTTATTTATGATTCTTAAGTATTTTTTTATTTATGATTTTAATTTTTTTAAAAAATATATCTCATAGATCTTCAAATTTATTAAAGATGCTCTTAGAATTTCTTTTTGGAAATGCTCTTAGTGCTTCTAAAAAAAAATTGTTAGAAGATCGGCAATTTCTCAATAAATAGTTTTCTTTTTTGTTTTTTTTTTTCGTCATTTCACTTTTCTTTTCATTTTAAGTAAATTATGGAGTAATGCTAGATTGTGGATATGCTCTCGCATTGAAATCACATTACATAGAATAAACAGGTCGTTTTATAGAATAAACAGATCGTTTTAACTTGTTTCCGACGTGATTGTACATCTACTGCTTGTTTGTCCTGTAAATCACCAAAACACTGTTTCCATCGGTCAAGCAGTCAGAACCAGTTTTGAGGGTATACCCATGAAACTTTTGCATGGAGTCCATGATTTATATAAACAATTTGGGGCTTATTTCTATCATTGCTGTTAATCTTTTTTCTATCACCAATTGGTGTTAATCTATCAATGTGTAAATGCTGCTCTACAAAGTTGTGAAACCTTATGTAAAATGCAAAGACAATTAAAACACATAAAAAGATATGATCAAAAAACTTGACTATGAAAATTTGATCGATGATTTTGTAGGAAAAAAATGCAAGAAGAATTATTTGGAACAACTGGTAAAGTTTTCCTAGTTTGGAATATATTGTAATTTGTTATTATAGTCTTAGATTTTTATGGATTAAATTTTTATGTATTATGTAAGTGCCTTAAC